AGCTTAGATTATTTGTAAACCAATAGAGTATTTGCTCACATATGTTGATTACGTCACTTTAATTATCTTGAAACAAATTTCTTTCATTTTCGTCATTTTGGAACTAAACTGCTGAGCGAACGGAACGTCAGATTAAAGATTCGAAAACAGGTGTAAGCAGTTCGATCTCAATACTTCTATCTTGCGTTCGATCTAAATTAAAAAAGCAAAAAAAAAAAAAACTCGCGACGGACTACAGAAATGCTTCTGCTTCGCATCGCATTAAAAAAATAAAAAAAACTCGCGATGGACTACATAAATGCTTCTGCTTCGCATCGCATTAAATATAAACTCGAGTACTCAAACTTGTCAGCTTATTACTATTCTGTTTTCGTTCTGTTTCATCGTCAAAAGAAAAACAAAGCAACAAGTTGCATGTGATATTATTTACGATGCCGCCACCTTTTCATACTCGAAAAGCACAAGAAATATTTTGATACTAAAAAATCATTTCCATTGCACAGGCAGAAGGTGAGTGTGATTAAACTGTTTACATCTGGCCGAGATGGGATCGGGTTACTTTAAAAGATTTGCACTCGATTCCACCACGAAGAATAGCAACTTATGCAATTAGTGATATTCATACAGCTACACTCGAACCTACCTCAAGATATGATAGCACGAAAAAATATAATTAAAGAGCAGTGTAAAAGCATATACGTATCGTGGAGATGAGTTTTATGAAGCTTGTCTTCGAGGTTTTTCATATTGTTTCCTGAATTCGCGAAAATCAATTCAAGGAACTCTGAAAATATAAGCCACTAGAAACATTTCATATATTATAGGGTATCATTTTTCTGATGTAGCTGTACTAACTTTTTGATAATATTTATACGTTTAAATGATGCAGTAATGAGTGCACAAATGAGTAATTGAAATCATTATAATGATGAGCTGTTTCGAAATTATTTTCTTTTCTCTTGGTTTCCCTATTTTTCTTTGTAATTTTTTTCAGTTTTTCTCACTTTATACCAACGATACACAGAAGCACGTTTTATTTGAATGAAAGAATGTAATCATATGAATGTAGCTTCTCGCTGATCCTGTTTTCCTTTTAGTTCTCTGACTATTATTATTTCTATTTCTATTAACGTTCTTCGATTCTGTTTAGAGGTTTGTAGTACGCAGATTAAGTACATCCTAAGATATGATATTACTGAATAAACATTATTACCAACGATTATGATGAACTAGTTCTCCAGTATATCGTTACACAATACAAGAATCATTGTCGTCGAATTGTACATAGTGGAAGAGGATTTTAATCAGAGTGAAAACAAGTTTTCAAAGAGGTTTTATCGTAATTCAAACTAATAATAATTCAATACTCAATGTGATTGTAAGTCAAGAGAATTAGCTCACCAATTCCTGTCTTGGGTGTGGATGTGATTATATGAGTTGTATTTCGATCTTCTCTTTACTCCTACCGACATCGACATCGACACCAACGCACACCCGGCAAGTACAAGCATGCTGATCGAAAGCTGTGCAATATGGAAATGAAATCGCTGTCACAGTTGTCACATAGAGTAAATAATTGTGTTTCCCACAAGCAGCATCTTTTGTATTGAAAAGCCCCACACGGAAACCATTGACAAAAATAAATTGCCGGTGAATGTATACCAGGCATTACTGTACTTGCTAAAAGATAACTGATACTTGGGTTTCCCCAAAAACGGTCCTACTTAGTGAAAATGACAACTGTTAAAATAGTTCCAACGATACCAAAAATAATTATTCGCATCGTTAGTGTGTAGTAGAACCAACGTGTAGCAAGAACAATTGCATATATGCTTGACATTTCTAAGATACGATACTACGATTTTTACATTGCAATTTATAGACAGAAAAAAATGTTGTTACATGACAATTATAATTGATACATGTTTTTTCATTAGCATTCTCATTCTAGTAAATTCATCTGTGTAAAAAACAATTCCCTGTGGGGGGAGGGGGGTGATTTATAATAAAGTTAAGCTCGATAAGATACACTTCAGTTATGCTATCTATTGGATCGTGAATAAATCTAGTATAGTTAAGATTTTTTGAGAAATATGATTAGTCTCCTGCAGAGCATGGCGAGATTCATCGTATAAAGGAACATCATTGGATATTGTTTACAGATATAATGCTGCCATGTCGATCTTGAGCGATCTTTTTTTGCCAGAACAGTAATCAGAAGGACTGATAGAAAATACGTTTCGGAACACTTCACAGCAATTTTTGTTTAGTATGATTTTTTTATCTTTCAAACCCTTTATTAATTCATGATATATCTAATTTGCACACAAACGCAAGCAAAAGCATTCGATCTATTTTAGTTTTCTTTTTCACATGATGCCTAAGTTAGTATGTGCAATAACGTTCACAATAACTCATAATTGATGTTAAATAGTAGGACATAAACTCCAACATATTTTGTCACAGAAATTGAAGCAGTCGAAACCAAAGATCGTACAGAGCCTCTCTAGTGTTGATTGGTAAACTATAACTGAAGCATCACATTTACTGGCACTAACTGTCGACGGAGTTAGCTGTATAACAATTTGTTCAGTGCAACAATACCCGTCAGTAGCTAAACTAGTATCACACCAAAATATTTAAGATATGTCAGGGATCTCTTAGAAAAGGTTTCCAACAGAATCGTTGAGATTTTGGAAAAGAAAATCCTTTACTATCTAAGAAAGCATTATATTACCATTGAACCACTAGATTTCTGAATAATTTGAAGAATCATTTTAAGCAAAGACTGGTTCTTCAATGTTGGTCTTTTTAAATAAAGAACGTTAAATATAAGTGTGTGCAGAATAATTCTGTTCATATTCACTTATTTTGACATTTGCATCTATACTCATTGTCTTACCCTCATGAAGAAATAGCAAGTTAAAATTATTTTGAATTTGAAATCTTGAGGGTATGGGTTTCGATGAAGAGAAGACACCCACACCAAATTATGAAACAATCTTTTCTGACATAATTCAATAGCCGACTCTTGTATCAATTTCTTTTGTACTTAAATTATTAATTTAAATAAGAAAAAAAAATACAAGAAATTTTTCTGAATCAGTGGATTAACTACTGCAATTCCTTCTGTTATTGTTATGCTTCGAAAAAGACAAATGTCAGTTCGGAAGGCTATTAAAAAGACCGGCAAGAAAAACTAATGCAACTGGCGTACCGAAAATTCAAGTATCAATATTCCTACATCCTTTACTTATTTTTATTCTTCACGAAACATGATCAGTGTGAAACAATTCTAATTTAACTTAAACGTGGTGAAAAATCTTTACGCAATGTTTCTCTCGCTATGAAATAGCTGCTTTTGTACTCTATTGTTTAATTGAGTTTAAAATAACTCTGCACGCTTTTCAATTTCCAGATTTTTCTCTCACAAAAGTATAATGCCAATTATGCCTATTGTCTATAAAGAGAATTGCGACATTTTGAAACATTTGTCTGAGATAAGAAAATTTAGTCTGTTTGTTACATGATCATTCATATAAAATTATTCATTTTGCCGGCTGCCAACTATTTCTTTGTCTTGCTATATATATATATGAAAATTTGTATATGTATGAAAGCACATACTAAAACAAATATTCGTGTATAATATGTCGGATACAACTACTAAACATTATCATATCCATATTTCATTAATCAATGAAGTAAGTTATGATTATGAAACTTTTATCCTATAAAAACTTGCGAGAATTACGCTCCATAACCAGCAATCTTGTTCTAGATAATTTTGGAATCCATATCATACTTAGTAGCAAATGTTTTGAGAATTTACACAAAACGAAACTTAATGAGTTGACGAAGTTTTGTTTTAGAATCTACTAATAATTTTCTTCAATTTCACTTGAATTTTCCAATGGTATGAAAAAAAATAGGAAAGAAGAAATTTTTTGCTAAAGCTTTAAAGTCGAATTGATTGAATGAAATTTTTACAGAAAATTAAGTCACTATTTACTGATTCTAACTATAGTCGAATCAATCAGTAATTGTGAAATATTCTAGACTTATTCAAAAAAAAACTGTAACCATCTAAAACAGATGGTTATTTACTTCTGAGGAATGATATGCCGCCAGAAACTCACATGTTTGAATTATAAATATGAGTCTCCAGTTTTGAAGCATAGCGAATGATAATCGCTCACTAAATTTTCTTGGTAGTTTCATGAAAATCAGAGCAAGTTGACGCAATTTTTATTGCAAAATCAATTTTAGCTTTTCTATTTAGAACATTTTTAATATAGTTTCCCAGGTCGAACATTACGGTGACCTGATACGATCGTAAACGGCCGTATACGGCAGCGTTTACTACCGTTTTATAACGTTTCCGACCGTAAATCGCCGTAATTCGACGTTTTGGCATGCACCGTATTACGGCCGTATTTCGCCGTGTCGTAAACGGTTACTAACGGCCGTAATGTGGTCGGATATTGCAGTATTCGACTGTATACGATCGTATATGGCACGATGCCAAACGACCGTAATGCGGTGTATACCAAACGGCCGTAAATTGTGACCAAACGGCCGTGTACGGCACAAGTTGATCGACCTGGGTTCTCATGAAAGACAATTCTGGTGTAGATGACGCTAGTTTTCGAAGACACTCTGAAAACTGCTTGGCACTAGAGAGTGATTGTTTTTTTAAACACAATGAAGATAAATATATTTACGTTTTTGTAAAGGTTGATCTGATTATTTTGGGTTTCTTTGCACTCCAAATATCGACTGTAGAATATAAATGATTCCATAATTCACCACCCTGTGACTAAAGGCTATAAAGAAACAAACGATGACCATACATGCAATACTAATAGATACATATATCATATCATTTATAGTATACATGTTTTATGTTTTCTTCTATTCGTCGATTGTAATTTAAATGTATACTAATGTTTTACTGTTTGTTTTAGATGTCGTTACGAAATTTATTTTCTTGTTGCACAATGGGCAATAAAAATAGTAAGAATGGAAACCATACAATTCGAAATAAGAATAATAAGGATGGAAACTATACAATTCAAAATAAGAATAAACAACAAGTGAGTAAAATTCGAATTCATATTAGTGAATATAAGATTTTTTTCTTAGGATTGTGTTAATAGAGATATTGGTGCCAATCAACGGCATGATTATTGTAATGATCATTTCCCAGGTCAATGATTCCGGAGGACGGATACTGTAGGAACCGGCCGGAAAGATGCGGAAAAATCACCGTATCTGACCGGAAAGCACTGGAAACTGGAAGCAGTATTCCAGTTGGAAGTTACCGGATTTTTTTCCTGTGGATTCCGGTCAGTTTCCTGTGTTTTCCGGTCAGTTTTCTGTGTTTTACATCTGGAAGTTGATCGGAATCTACAGGAAGNGAAGAAAATCCGGTAACTTCCAACTGGAATACTGCTTCCACTTTCCAGCGCTTTCCTGTGCTTTCCGGCCGTTTCCCGCCGTACGTCCACGACCTGGGTTCAAAAAAGACGAAAATGCAGATGTTGAAAATGATCGTAATAAATTATTGCCAAGTTGTAATCATCACAATAACAAATCATTAAATCATACAAAACATGCTGCACGACGAACCATTATAAATTATGAACGTGTAATTGATAAACCACTTACTGTTAACTCTAATCTGAAGGCATATCGTATTTATAAATCAAATGATGCAGGCAATTATGCCGTTTATAGACCTTCACATGATATCCAAAATGCCAGAATTGTACGACGTAAGAATAATCGTACATCACAAATGAAAATTTATGATTCAGAAGAATTTTTTTCTTGTGAAGAAGAATAAGAAAATTTGTTGATTTTTACAAATTGTTTTTTTTTAATATGAATTCTTGTCTTAAATATATTTTTTTTCTTGAAATAATTCTTTCTTGTTGATACATATTTATGCATTAAATAAAACAAATGAATATATATATATATATATATATATATATACATAACACATTCACAGAAGAATTCATCTTGGTTTCATATAAAACTTAACTAGACGATAATGAGGATGGAAAATCTAATGGTGGCATGATTACCTTTTTTCTTCATTGACTAGTGAACGATTCATTAGCAATTTAATTTAACATTGCAAAATAATATTGCTTTCATTCGTTTTACAAATAGGAAACAACGTCATTGGGAACGACTTAATATTATTACTATATTGATTTTGTTTAGTATCTTCCAATCGTTTACATTAATCATAATACCAACATCGAGATAGATCATAATAAATCATATGTATATAACTGAATGAAAAGCAACTAAGTTTTGAGAGTTGGCCTCCTCGTGAACAAATGTTTCTTGTCATTCGTTGAAAGCTTAGTCTTTCATAACAAATTTACAGGATCTACCAATACATATTAGAAAAAGATAATTCATTACTTTTTATTACGGTACAGAATGAAACGGCTCGCGATACTATATCATCCTTAGTTCCTAAATTAATTTGATATTGAATGTTCATATTGATAAACATATATATTTAGAGTCAATGTCCCTAATTACGGCAGTAAAAATTCACTTCGATTGTTTAACTTCGTTCGTGGCCAATTCATTTTCGAATAAAAATATACTTGTATGTGCATGATTTTTGAAGTCTCCTCTTTCGAATGATATGCTTTGAACTGCTCTCACTCATATAGTTCTTGAGAAAACAGCGGTCTACAATGAAGACCCCTCGCTGTCGTTATTAGAGCTACTTTCCTTATTTACGACACTAAGCTATTTTTTGTCCCTAATTACGACACACAAGCAAAATTCAAGCAAAGCTATTTCTTTCGAGAAAAACTCATTTTTTTACATATGTTGCGTAACGGATACAGGATAAGTGTCTATAGCAATTTTGTAGAGCGTGTCGAACTCTATCATTGTTCAAAGGTTCATGACATACCAGAACTGACTTTAATGAAATAGATTTTCTTAAAAATAAGAAGGTCGCAAATCGACAAAAACATTTTATCCTTAATTCCGACACTAAGCTAGCTTTTGTCCCTAATTACGACAAATGCACTAAAAACCATCTAGTATTGAAAGAAGATCAATCTTTCCTTTCATATGAAAAGCCCGATCAATGTTGAAGACTTTTCATAACACAGTTTCAAATTTCAGAAAAAATGAATACTTTCGTGTCTGTAGTCCTCCTCAGGTATTTGAAAAACCTTTTTTTCTTTATTCTATTGGTTTTCTTGATAAATCGATAGATAAAAGTGTGCTGATTACGCCCAGGTCGAACATTCAGGCCACCGGATCCCGTAGGATACTCCAACAAATATGTGGGAAAGTCACCGTATCCTGCAGGAAAACACGGGAAATCGCTGGAACATGGAAGCAGTAGGGGTGTACAGCTCCCGCTCATATGAGCGCTGATGAGCGCGAGCGTTTCTGCTTTAAATCAGATCTGTTCAAAATATCATCAGCTAGGAATGTACTATTGTTTGCATGTATACAAAAGCGCATATAAAGTTGTTGATATCTCGTATACCTGCTATAATATTTATAGATGACGCGGATAGGCATTTTGTGATCTATGCATCACTAAAAATCATAAGAATTGATCCTTTTTGGCTTTTCAATTTGTATTCGTAACTCCTTAATATTTTTTAAGTTCATTTATCTTGTTGATGTAATCAATCTAAGAGTGAAGCTAGAATCTTATTATACATAGTTCATTGATACAGATTTGTATTTATTTGGCTTGAGACTAAGAATTTCGTTACTAGATACACTAGCGCAAACAATCAGATATTAAGATCTGACAAGATTCTACATCTGATCTTGTATGATCTTGTAATATCAGATAAAAAATCGTATGAAAATCGTAGTCTCTGAACTCTTACATCAATTCGTTCTATCAGATTCTTAAAAGATCTTATTTTATCGTACGATATGACTATAAGATTTCAGAGACGACGAGTTTTCGCACGATCTTGTCTGGTTTCGCAAGATCTTACATCTGATTTTTCGACCTGAGATATAATAAAAACAGATCCACTTTACTGTATGTAATTATACAATTGAGCGAATTGGTACTACATGATTACACAAATGATGAAAATTTCTGATGAGTATTGACATAATTTTATCTTGACGTAGTCATTTATCCTATTGAAGTGAAATACTTTCAATCTGGTATGATTCAGTAGTGAAAAAAGAATATAGTTTAATAAAAGAACTGTGAAATATTATATACCTTCTTGTCCTCTATCATTATGAGCGACAGAATCAAACAAGTACCCCCCTACCGATTACATATGAGTGAATTGCGCTGCCATTATACGATTGCTCTGCGAACACGAAAAATCTTATAACTCAACTTCTACTCAATCGATTTGGACAATTTTTTTGTTGAAATGCTCCATTCAGTGCGTCCTACTCACCATAAAATTATCGAGGTTTTTATTTGCGTGGTAAGGATTTTTCAAGCATAAAAGATCATTACGAAAGCTGTTTGACAGGATCTATCGACAGAAATTCCTTTTTATATCCTACAATTCTGACTGGATAAATACATTTTTTTACGGAAGTTGGCAGCTCAGGTTTTCCTCCTTTTAACTATATAAAGTAATCTTAATTTCGATTTTGATTTCCTGATCAAATCTTGCAAAAATATGAAAACATACACTTTGACCATTTTTTGTCACAACATATTAAATTGTAACTACTAAAGGCTACTTACAAGCTAACTCAAATTTCTTTTTTTGTGCTTGATAGAGCAAAGAGCGAGAAATATTTTGATTAAAAAATAAATAAATAAATAAAATGTTCACGATGAAACAAACAAGTAAAAATAAAACAGATTGGTAGCTATTGTCGCACTAAATGTCACGACAGATTTCTTATTTTGACTTTTTGATTTCTCGCTAACTATAAGAGATTAATCAATGATGTTTTTACCATTTTTGTTTGACTAAGTATATGGTACATCTATGGTAAAAAGTTGAGCTGTTAACTAAGTGTCGTTCGCAAGAAAATAGCATTTTACTTAAAAAATGTCACAACAGATTCATATGATAGATATTCAGAGAAAATATCATATTTCTTCATCTTCTTTTACTTCTATCGACTCCTCTCGACTGAGAGACATTGATAGACACTTCATTGTTATCGCGAAACAATGTTAAAAAGAACTTAGCTATAAAGCGCGTTTCTAGAAAAAAAGATGCGTTTTTAATAATAGCAATCGCATTACACTCCCGAAAATGCATGAATGCTACATGCGAGTAAAATTTTGCACATGTCTCTTGGATTCCCCGATTGCAAATTATTCGTTTCATATATGATAACCATGTAAAAATATTTTACTCATCATTTTTTTTGTCAAGAAATCTCGGACCTTTCATATATTTTGAGATCTCAATTTTCTCTGAAATGGAAATCCTGACAGTGGGGAAAATAGTTGACTCATATACAACAAATAAGGCTCTATCGAATGCACGGGTCAAATCTATCCTCTGTTTACTTTTATTTTTTTCGATTTTTTTCTTCAAACCGTATAATGTCAGCGCAATTCACTCATATATAAGCAAATAGGTTATGCCCTAACTATAAATTTTAAAGAATAAAATAGATTTTTGAATTGAGCTATTTTGCATTGGCTAGGAAATCTAAGGGGTACATGTGAGTTCCACATTTTAGCCCCAAAGGGGCTGCGCTAACAAGCTTTTTCGTTTTTGCTCTGGTTTTCTATTCCACGAAAATTTAACTTTCTTCTATAATCGAAGAAGATGCAACATATTAATCATATATATTCGATATGTGACTATAAAATCAGTACGGATAAAATACGAAGATATCATGACTGACATCGATTGAAATAGTTGGATATTGAAAAGAACTAAAAGTTACCTTATGTGTTGATCATTTCAAATTTAAGCAGGATTTTATTTTCTGATTATTCATAGTCGAATAAAGAAGGTTCAGTTCGTTTGTAAAAAAAGATCTCGAAGAAATTTATTTTTCACTACATCAAAACATAGTAATATAACTGATATCGGAAACATTTTTACATACAAGATAGTTTGCATAAACATAATTAACTTGTAAATATTTATTCAAGTATGAGCGCTCAGAAAAGTAAATCTTACTCAGATTTGAAACTTTCAGTGTTTAATATATAACATAGTAATTAGCAAATTCAAACACTTTAGCCCCTGCAAGATCATCACAGAATTCAATGCTACATTTCCTCATTGGTTACTTACTGGGATATTTTAATTGTAGCCGTAAGTGCTATGCTCTCTAAAAAGAATAAGTTCCACGCCGAACTTTAAAAAGTTCAGCAAAGAGTACGAAATCAAAAAAAGATCTTCCGGTGGGTACACGGAAAGAGCCTTTTTGATAGTTTTGCAAAAAGCCTAGAAAGGTTTGGTACCAATCTGCGTAACCGAACAAAGTTTCTCACGAAAGTAAAAATCCTTGAGGTTTGGCGAAAAACCTTTCAAGGTTTAGCATAGAACCATAAAAGGATCTTCCTTCGGGCACACGGTAAGAACCTTTCTTTTTGTACTCAAAAAGTGAGTACACTCTAGAATCGGTCAGTGTGTCCGTCCGTCCGTTTACACGATAACTTTTGAAAGGAGAGTTAGATCATGATGAAATTTTCTACACAGCTCAGCCTCATCAATGTCTCAGTCGAATTCGAAGATGAGAAGGATCCGTCAAGAAATGGCTGAGTTATCGAAAAAATTGTCATTATTGACCAGACCATCCCTGAGGGGGAGTACAGGGATTTTTCAAAAAACTTTTTTTTCTCAGAATAATCCACAACATATATAAATCGACTCCGCTTTTAATGCTGATTCTGAATCTGATATTAGTTTTGAAAAAAGCGTAGTTTTCTAACGAAGCATTGACTGAAAAAGGTCTCAAAATACACAAAACTGCATCTGCAAACCAAATTGCCTAGATATGTCTCAGGTGACCAGCAGTTTGGGGTTTTCTCAAATGCCTGGTTTTGTAGCTAGTCAAAAGGACTATAGAAAGGTAAAAATCTGAACTCGATAGTTATTAGCATTGATGGTTTATTATGAAAATACTGATGCCTGTATCTATCATATATCTCTTATAAATTCATGAGGTTGCTTACGATCGTAATCCTGCTAGATACAGACACAAAACCATTCAAAAATAACTGTTCTTATCCAGTTTTCGAAGCTGAACACGAATCTGAACTCAATTTCTGTGATCTCTAAAGATAGTATATCACTCTGAGAGTAGAGTCAGTGATCACTGGATAGAGTTGCATACAGTGTAGTCCATGCTAACTTAGTATGCCTGTATTTTCTCCTTGCAATTTAGTGAGAAGGGATGTATCTTGATGAGATCTATGCCTTATAGAAAAAAATGGATGTACATTTTCGCTTTTTGAAGTACACATAACAATCGGGTGCAATTCCGATGTTTCCGCCTTTATTTTAAAGTGTGTTCCATTACCTTCAGTTATAATACACATCCATATCCCTGTTGTTCATGTTCACTGTTATGTTTTTTTTACTTTATTTGTTATTCGAGCATTATTGACTGTGAAAATAAAACACATGATTGACGCATACGAAAGAATAAAAGCATAACATGCACTCTATTTGATCGAAACGGAAGTGTCACATATCCGAAATATCGGGCATGCTGGAGATGCCACGGGAGACGCCGACATACAACACTATAACTAACCCAATGAAATACTATGTGTATGTAAAATTCTTTGAGTGCATTCTGCGTCTCACGCAGAGACGCCGCATCTCTGGTATCTCCATCTCCAGCATCTCCCGATGAAAAAATATTTTTCGATTTCTAGCCTAGACCCCAACTGGAGATGCGCCCCTCTCTTCCCCTTTCTTCTGTCTCTCTTCCTCTTCTTCACAAACCTTGTCCGTGTCTGTACGATAACCCTCTCTCCCCAACATCCTGTTTTTTATACAACCCACGTTGCCACAAATCCGAAATGCGAGTCATATCGATACGCCACTAGTGTAGGTGTGTTGGTATGGCTGTGCTTATCCACGTTTGTACGTTTTCACCACTTTATGTGCCATCCTATCAGACGCCGTCTTTTCATGTGTGTCCGTCTTCCCCCACACCCACATATTGCGATATGCGTTGTGTGTTTCTGCCTGACTGTCTGACGCCCGGTTGTACGTTTGCTCATGCATATACCAATCTGTTTCTCAGTGTACTTCGCATGCCCTTTTGGGTTTGTCCTGTGTGCATGTGTGTTGATCCATATGTTGATGAACTATCGACAGTCGGTTTTAGTATTCGACGATACTGGCGTCAACGCATTTCTTTCAGTAGTGGTGTGGGCGATGCGTCGTCGCTCTCAATATGAGCATCGACTTATGAATCCCAACGCCAAAAATTGGCGAATTTTGTATCGGGGCCTGACAAAAGATGACGCTGCGGAAGGCTTCGCATCTCTCGTCCCCCCTCTCTTCTCCCTGAAGAGACTCATGTCACGGCTGTGTCTAGGCTAAAAAGCAGAACATTTTTTCATCGAGAGATGCTGGTGATGGAGATGCCAGAGATGTGGCATCTCTCTGTGGAGATGTGCGCGAGGTGGCGGTTCTGGTGTATCCCTCATCTCCCGTGGCATCTCTGGCATGCCCGATTTGTTGGATATGTGACACTGCTGTCGAAACTATATCTCTATATTTGTGTAGCTATATTTGTTCTACTCCTATGTAGCTCGCAATGAAAACTCATATCAGGATGGACAAATGCATTTTGTTTTGCACTTTCAATACTTTTTATTGGCTTCTCCTGGAAATCCAGTGTAAAATAAATAAACTGTATAGCTTACATAATAGAAAATTTCATATCATTTAACAACTATTTAGTTAACTTATACAGAATAGATAAGGATTTTCAATGCGCATAATATTTACTGATGCTTCAGTGAAACTTCAGGCTTCACCAGCTACTGCGCATTATCAGAGGCAGAAACAATACCAGAACAACTGAAGGGAGATTCTCTTTAACGATAAATGATGTACGCATACGAAGGTAGCAGCGCTCGCGCTCAAAAGAGCACGAGCGAAAATCGCTCATGCTCATGAGCGAGAGCGCGAGCTGTACACCCCTAGGAAGCAGTATTCCGGTCAAAAATACGACCGGACTTTTCCGGCAGGAATTGATCGGAAATCACTGAAAAAAGCGCGAAAATTTTCCAACCGGAATACTGCTTCCACAATATCAACGGAACTACTCGGAACCGGCCGTTTTCAGGCCGAACTGTTCGACCTGGGCGAATATGATGTCTTTCTTTAGCGTGGACACTCATTATTGTACCAAATAGGTAACTGAGCGAGGGCTTTCGAACAAATGAATGTGCCGATATTGATGGCACCCTTCGATGATTCTCCTTCCTTTTCTTTCTGTTCTCTTTCCCTTGTTCTAATATATATCTCTTTCCTGTCTCTCTTCTATCTCTCACCTATATATACGTGTGTTATGTATAAAATTGTTACACTCTGGATATGTGAAGAAGTGAATAAACATCATTGCCGAGGGTGATGGTAAGCTACTCCACCTCTATCGAGTTTGTCACTACGATTTAAACCCAACAGAGTCCTATTGATTGTTACAGGAACGAATAAAACGCATGATATTCTTTTATTTCAAAAAGGATATTAATTGTGCACGAATAGATAAAGAAAAAAATATGAATGAGATAAAAATTGAATTACAATAGGAATTGGCATTTCAGAAAGGAAAGGTCTGTTCGGTGATAGAATGCGATTTATAAAAACCCAATGATGGAGAAAATCGCTATTCCAAGAGTCAAAACGAGACTGCCTGCTCTCGTTTTAACCCCATTGCACAAGTTTGTTGTGCAACAGTTCACATTGGTGACACCCAAGTTTGTCGTGGTTGCAATGTATGCTGAACAGCTCTGGTAGATAGGTACACCACTGCGATACCAGACGCCGTTGCTATAATATGTCTAAAGGATAATATATATATATATAAAACCTGACTATACGCTAAAATATGTAACATACTATGCACAAATTATATGTTGTAACACCATCCGAGCTCAAGGCAGTATTGGCATCACAACCCAAGCAATAATAGCAGCTAATGCTCGTGGTGATAGGCGCCAAACCTATAAGAAATAATACAGAGTAAGACTGTGTCGTACAGGTGTAAGACGATTACCAAGTAGAATAGCAAGGATAAAAAAAACGAATTTCATCGAACTTATCTTTGTGAACGATATGGAAAGAAAAAAGTAAGTAAAGTGAAAAAGTAATTCTATGTAGTTCTCTCTCGTTTTATACACAATATTGATTTCTATACGAATGGTAGAAAGAAAATAGAATCTCTATTATAGGTAGTATAATTATTTTTCATACCAGTGACTTCTAAGAACGCTGCCAAAGGGGCATAAAAAATGAAAACGAAGTAAAATTAGTTGTAGAAATGGTAAAATTTGAGTGTATTATGCAAAAAAAAGAAGAATGAATGTGTTTTTTTTGTTGTGATTCATAAGGGTGGCACTCTATGTCTGTTTTACTTTGAAAAACTAAAGTAAAGTAAAATCCGGTAGACATACTTTACTTTATTAGATCAAGTAAACTGAAGCGTGAGGATGACGGCATAATTACAGATATCGAGAACGAAAGTTAAAGCAAATATGCTTACTCAGTAGAGGGTCTGTTATGAATGTGGTATTTTCAGAATCTGCTTTAGGCTAAAATTGAATTTTTTTCAATATAAGATGCAGATTTTTAAGATGGAGATACCGAGAACATATCATTGCTGTATAATGAATTAATATTATGTTGTAATGGCGTTGCTATATAGCATCTTCGATTGCTTTCATATGAGACACTACTCATTTCTCAATACAGAAGATATTTCAAAGTATACAATCATCGTTTTGTTTGTTTCGCTACATGGCAGTGTCTAAAAAATTAGTTCGCCTTAAAGTGCCAAAAAGGTAATAACACTGGTGTGAACGCCTGTTGATTAATTCATTGTCACTTCACCTTTGTAATGATTTTGCTGTTTTTCTTGGAAGCTTTAACAAGACTACCAATGACAACCAACAAAGTGCATAATTCTTCATTTTTATCGAATATTTACTATGCAAGTGAAGGCCACTATTCAAGTGTGTTGCATGTAAGAATATCGGCTTTCCACGAAAATGGAACTAAGGAGATACACGTCAATCAACTATTTTTATTCTTTCTATGAGCAAATCATATGATACATAAGAAAAAATACTCTTCGTCGAAAAGTTACTTCATCGAACGTGTTTTTTAACCATGGTGAATACTCTCAAGGTGACGCTGAAAATACAATGGATCAATCTCTTCAATCTTAACATGCCTATATAGAAACGGGAAAGTTTGTGAAAACTTTTGAAACTCTCGCGGACTTTTCGATGGAGTGCGTTTTGGCGAAGATCATATCATTTGAAAGAATTCGTATAGTAATGCACCATTTTCTTGAGGGTGTGAGTGTGGATGTGGTTGGGTGTTGGTATTCACTTTCATGTCACACCCGCACCCGAATAACTATTTGAAATATATGTAAGTAACTACTAATGCATCAAATTATGTGTACCATGTTTCTGTTGATTGTATAATTATATTGTAGAAAGAACGAGAGAGGTGAAAATAATCAAATTAACAATAAACACAATACTGTATTCGTTCATTTAAACTGAAAAGATCAGTAAACAAATTTGATACACTGCATATTTTTATCGCTAATAATTGTTGCTTTGGGAGTTCCGAAGTATACGAAATAGTTGTATAACTTTCATAATTTGATCTTATTGAAACCTAGTCGAATGTCAAACTGAATTAAATAATAATTGAACAAGATGCTGTTCTATTTATCAGTTATTTTCTTGCTTCAGTAGCCTCGATACTATGACTATCTGTTTCGAATTCTTTTATTTTAAATAAATATATCCTGAAATAAATTTGATAGTTTGTCAAATTTCAATAACCTATATCAAACAGAGCATTGTCGCTGTGTTAATCAATGAATAGTGATGAAAAGCAGGAATAGTGTTGTATTATCATTATTAAAGAATATATTCTTCGTTGTTACGTATTTATTTACCCATATAGTTCATGAAGTGAGAGATTGAAAGAAATTTGGATGGTGATTATTCAATATAATACGAAATAATTTTCATACGAAAACAGATAAAATGTTTAATGAAATGTCAGCGATTTATGAGACGAATTCTTCTCATTGATTTGTCTGTTTCAATCAAGAAAATTTTCTTGTTGAAGTTTACAACAAAATTTTTTAAATTGATGAAAGAACGATGTTGAACTAATATAAAATTAGTTTGGTTCGTTTATGGATACAAATCATTTTTTGTTTTAAAGAATATTTTCATATACTTTCAAGTTTACGAGAATAATGATTTTCTTTTAAGTACTTTTGAATTCGTTAGTCAACGTAAACTATAATAGAAGAACAGAGTTTTCTCTATGATGACTAAGATGTTTCAATTTATCAGAATGTTTTCCGTAGTTCTATTCAATAAACTTTGTTAAGAATCGTTCAAATCTTCTTATGCGATTATTCAGCAGTGTCACATATCCAAAATTTTGGAGATGCCGCCACATCTCCCGCGGGAGACGCCGCATCTCGCGCGAGAGATGTGGGTGTGGGTGTGGGGGATGCGCATCTCTAAAGGAGATCTTACATCGCCAGTTGTGAATGACCGGATCTCCCGACTGTGGGTGTCACGTCTCCAGCGGGAGACGCGGCATCTCCTGTGGGAGATGTGGTGGCATCTCCTGTGGGAGATGTGGTGGCATCTCCAAAATTTTGGATATGTGACACCACTCGTTACTATTCATGTATTTCGAGCAGACCTGTATTTTCTCTTTTTCTGAACGCTCTATTTTAATTATTCGCTCATTATTTTTCATATTCGTATCTTTTTCTTGTAAATCTAAAATTTTTATCATGATACGAAATCGAATTAAATGGCAAATAAGGCTATTGTGAGAGTCTATTATTAAATCTCCGATGCAACGGTCCCTAATGAGAAGCAGAAATAGGATGAGGCACCAAAACGAGTTCGATGTAAAACTTACATTCACGATTTTCTTCGAAAATAAATTTGACTTTTACAAAACTTGAAAATAGGATTGAAATATCGAGCTTACCTACTGCTTTTATTAAATATATAAAAAAATTTAAATACATACATGGGTGCACATGCATCAAAACAAGTATGTGAATCATTGGAATAGACACATAGTAAGAATATCATAAGAAAAACCGCAAATAGACCACAAAGAACGGAATCATAATAATGACCGAAGTGGTAAAGAAATGAAGAAGTAGATTCAATACTGGACATAATTAGACACGTAAACAAAGCAAGATTGGAATGAAGTGATCGATCAAATACGTCAACGGATTAACCCATGGAATTTTTGCTATGGATTATCATGGAAATCTTCATAGAAAACGAACCTATTTATCAGGATAAAACATTTTCTATAGTTATTATATCTGTTTCTATTAAAGTTGACGTAATACAGATAATTTTTCTATGATTGAAAAGATTATCTTTCTAAGAAGAATATCTTATTCAGTTTATGTGATCGATTTAAATATAATAGAAACCTATGTAGATATGTCACTCTGGTTGAAGTCAATGGTCTGTGCTTTTTGTCTCACTGATATCTTTCATTATTTATTTTAAATTGATAAAGTAACAATTTTTTATTGATTCTTGTGCGTTTTCTTACATAAATTTAGTTCATCAGCAAAAAAGAACACAAATCTTCTCTAATTAAAATAGAATTAGAGATTGATATGTTTAACCAATTAATATAGCTGATTATTTTCTAATAATGAATCAATTCTGCTGATTTAGACATGTAACATTTAAAAATATTTTCATATCAGTTTGATAAACTGATTAACAATTTCAGACTATTCTAATCGAAAAGACTTTAATTATATTGATTTGTACTCTTCTATATCTATATTACGCAAAAAAACATTTCGACTATTTAGTAAATTTGCATGAGATCAGTAAAGTGACTAAATAATTAGTGTAAATAGATCTTTTGAACAAGGTTCAAATAAGTATTAACGCTATGTCGACAACAATAAAAATATTATCTCATCATTAACTACGGGTTAAAGGAAGGTATGCAATCATCTAATCTCCTTGTGTTGTTTTTTATATTTGGTATGCACATTTTAATCAATAATAAAAAACGATTAAGTATATATTCAAAATCTCTCCTATCTCTATAATATTGTTATTCATATACTAAAAATACTATAGTATGATTTTTATTTTGAATAATTTCCTTATCAAACTCGCAATCACTGTCAAAAAAAGTCTTTAATTGAATAGCATCAATATTCATATTCTTCTATATGAAAACTATTTTCATCGCCAAAATATGCAAATTTCTATCTACACATTCAAACTATAAATAAGGGGTAATAATCGCACCCTTTTAAATTTAACCTTATTATGTCAGAAATTATCTAAAGATAATTTCTGAATATATACGCATATTAATTTAACTTCACTTGCATAATATGTTCACTATCTTTTAATAAAATTTTAGAACGATGAATACGAGTAAACCATTGGACGGATAAGTAGAGAAAGATTTAGAAAAACGGCCATCATCCGCGGACAATATGTCATCAATTTGCTCTCTTTCCCTGGTTACACACGTTTATAACTCGAAACATATATGAAGTAAGTGATAAACGATTATATATTTACAGAATAGAGGAAAACAGAGTGAATACAATATGTTAAAAGTAAACAAATTGGCAGACTAGAGAAAACAATTCAGTAAAAGAAACGATTCTATTTCATGTACATTGTTCGATCAGCATACTTAAAAGTTCTTCACATTCATCAACTAGTCCATCTAATTCACTATATTGATTATTTTCTACTTGTGTACATAGACTCGAAAGTAAATTTGAAAGTTTATCAGTTGCATTACATTCTTGTAAAATCTAAAAAGAACACAACATTTTAAAGCAAAGCAAAATGTTGATTCAAATAACCTCTTTTGCTTGTCCATGTTTCAACATTTGTTTGAGTACACGTAATGCAAATTCTTGTACAGTTACATGCGTATCATGACAAGCAACATCAAGTAATTTTTCGGGAACTTTTAATTCAATTAATCGTTCCGATAAACGATAACGTGCCAAAAATCCAAGCGTATCTATTTTTAAAGATAAATATACGATGGTAACAGAAGAAACAACGGCAATTTTGGGTTTGTTCACTTACTAACAGCATGTGATCGTATTTTTGAAATCGTATCATTTAATGCTTGAACAAGAAATGGAGTTAATTCATCAACATATTCATAAAGAATCTCATTTGTTGAAATAAAATTTCCCAATAAGAAAAATGCCATCTAAATAAAACCAAAACAAATATTTTTCGATGATAATAAAATAGAATGTTTTGTTTTTATCTACCTTGCGAACGTGTGAATCTTCTTCAAAACAACACTGTCTAAGCTGATCAAGTATATCTGGATGAGCTTTCAATATTGTACAAAATGAACGCGATGATTTTGTCATGTGACCCATTAGAAAACAACATTTTGCTTTTGTTAAATTACTTCCAGATAAAGCACGCTTTAAAACATCATAGTCATCTTTGGAGAAAAAAAACAGAAAATATCGAAAGTAAAGTCAATGATTGCTTATTCTTTACTTTTTGGTCCACTGAGAATGTCACTGATGCACGAAACAACACTATCAGTTGTTTTTATTAGATTTGTAAATGTAAAAAATGTGTCACATAGAATAAATTCACTTTCGTTGGTTCCATAAAGAACATTTGAATAGAATTGACACAACTAGAATATGATAAGTAAAATATTGAATTTTTACTTGGAAATTTAATTTAACTTGAATGTCACAGGACTATGTCTGTGACTCAAATAGTTCGAAGAGAGAAGTTTATCATCAAATGAAGAGAAAGATATAGGTTAACTTTCGTAATCCATCTTCAACTTATTGTTAATTAACCCTTGAGAAATATGAAAGTCGATTCGGCTAGTTCTTGCATAATTCATATTTAGTTTAAATTGTTGATTTATAGTTTCCATAAAGTATCAGATCGTAAGACAAACAATTAAATGATCTATTTACCTGCACATCATTCATTAACATCTCACTGATTGTTTTTCGAGCGCCTAAAATAAAGTTTATTTTTTCTTCTTTTTTTAAATTCCTTTTAAAATGATTAAATACGTACTTTCTTGATAATAGCTTAACTGTGCTACAAGACCAACAGGTACTTCAACACGATCAGTTGATAAATGAGCCATGGTTACCCAAAGAAGTTTTTGAATAATATCATAACGTTGACATAATCTAAATGCGAATAGAAAATGCAAAAATTTTTCTAACAGTCTACATAAAACAGGATAAATAGTGTGGCAACCGTTCAAAGACTTTACGTAAGTTTTTGAATAATTTGAGTTTTTTTTATTCGAATGAATTTCAGTTGGACACAATTTCAATTTTGTTAAGAAGTTATCTTTATTTTATGACTTTTGTATAAAACATCAGAAGATTTAGTAAACTCACTCTAATGTTCGTTCAAGAAATGTTTCACTTGTTTCAATTGAAAATGGAAACATAAAAATATTACATGTTAATGTGATAACTTCGTTGGTTAAGGAAGAAGAAGACCTTTAAATGAAAAAAATATAACCATGTGTTTTCATTCTCGAATGAAATTATTTCGTAGTTTTTACTTCACATCAAGCTGTTCAGTAAGTTCTTTACTTAACATCAAACTCAGCGCTTCGAACATGATACTTTCAGGTTGAATGAGTAAACTTAAACACTT